TTTAAGGTGAGAAACATATTTGATTTAAACATTTCTATATTTTATACTTTATTTATACTTTAATTCAAATTTAACTTATTTTAGACACAATATCAAAAGCTCTATCTACAAAATCAGGACAAATCTTTTGACTATTTTAATGATTATCGTATCGAACCTGTAGAAATTAATATTAAAAAGTGTGTGAAATATGTTTTCTGAGCATAGAATAATATAACACAAGAGATAATTCAAAATTGTTGGTTGAAAGTAGATATTCTGCTCAATGACAATAACAATAATGACGAAGATAAAACCTTACCGATATACAACTTGAACTTAAACGTCTAAGGAATTGGAAGAAATTCAAGTTTTAATTGACAAACTTGTTTAACGATCCTTTAACTACCAAAGAATTTATTCAATTTGATAAGTTCAAGACCACAGGAGAAATGATATCTGACGAAGAAATTGTAAAAGCAGTTTTACCTAATAAACAAGAACAAGAAAATGAAGGAGAAGAGGATTCTTTATCGACAATTACTCATAATGAAGTTATTGATGTTTATGATAAAATAATTTTATATTTGGAATAATGGGAGAAAATTTTCAATGTGAACAATGAAGAATTAAAGCTTATTAAAAAGCTTAAAAAAGAAGCTTTGAAAACCCAGTTTATTTTGACAAGACAAACTAATCTCAATAAGTTTGTTACTATAATTGAATAATAGCAATTTTTTTTTAACATAATAACATTAATAATAATTTGGTGCTATTTTTTATTTTATAATTGTTTTTTTTAACGTAAAAATGTTAATAATTTGGAAAGTATTTTTTATTTTATAATTGTTTTTTTAATGCAAAGATGTTAATAATTTGAGGAGTATTTTTTTTTTACGTAATAAACGTAATGATATAATAAAATGGTATCATATGAACACAAATTTTAATGAATTAACTAAATAATACCCCTCTATGATAGTGTTGAAATTGTGTTGAAATTATGTTGAAAAATTCATATTGTTTTTTATAATTTTTAACCAATTTGTATTGAATTTGTGTTGAAATTCCTATTGTTTTTTTACCAAATTGTGACGTCATTTTTTATAATAATTTATATTTATCACCCAAATAATAAATTATTATTGTCTCTAATTGTATGATCTGTCATATTAAAAAATTTGCTTAAGTTATATTTGTGTTGATCTAATTTTATAAATAATACAACAGTTGAATTGTTTTGGAATCTGAATCAGAATTTTGAATACAAAGAGTTTGAGCATTTCGATTATGAGTTTATTGTATTATTCAAGATATCAAATCAGAATTTCAATTCAATAATAAAGAGATTTTTCACGAGATATCAAATCAGAATTTCAATTCAATAATAAAGAGATTTTTCACAAAATATCAAATCAGAATTTTGTTTCAATAATAAAGAAATTTTTCACGAGATATCAAATCAGAATTTCATTTCAATAATAAAGAATTTATTTTTAAAGGGAAGTATTTTACTATCATTTAATTTTTCACTTTTGAAACTTTTAAAAAAATAATCTCTTATTAATTCAAAATATAATATTTTCAAATTTTTAATTTTTTATAAATAAATCATCATAAAAATGGCTGTCGCAAGAATCGTTTAGGGAGATGCAGAGACCGATTACTTGGTTGAAGAAAGAAGGAGAAGAAATTATGAATATCATTATTTTATTGTGAAAATAAATTGTGATTTTGGCAGAGCATCGCGAGAAAAAGTGAAGAAATTTGGTGAGGGATTATAGGGTAAGTAAATAAATAAATAATAATATATTGATAAATATAATTTAATAAGTAATTAATATTATCCTTTAGGACTTTTGTGATTAGCGTAATAGTGTGAGAAGAGGGGGAAGGTGGTCGTATAATGGAAACAATTTTATGATCTATTCTGAACTAGGTTTTGAAATAGGCCAGGTAATTATTATGTTTAATTGATAGTTCTTAATAAAAAATTTTAGGAATTTTTAGATTTATATTAAGTATCTTTTACATTTTTTAGTTATGAGGCATCATCGAAGAAGAGCCTATAATATGCCGATAGCAAACCAGTATTGGGAGTAGGAAGTAGAAGATTTAATTTTTTTTATTTTTTTTTAATTTTTTTATTTTTTATTGAGGTTTTAATTTTTTTTTCATTTTTATCATGGGGGTTTTTATTTTTTTTAATTTATTTTTTTTACCGGGATAGGGTTTTCATTTTGTGGTATTTTATTTTTTTATTGTTTTTTTTTTATTATTTTTTTTTTATTTTTTATTTTTTATTTTTTTTTATATAATAAATATATTAATTAATTGTATTTTAAACCATCATTAATAAATTTTCTTACTTTTTTCTTTTGTTTAATGAAAAGATTTCAAAACTTTTAAAAATAAATTTATATTCAATTTTTGCATTACCAAAATTGCTTCAAGATCACTTTAACTTTAACTACAGAGAGGTTATTTTATAAATAATATCATAAAATTAACTTTAATTATATTATAGTAAAATTATGTTTGTATTTTCCTTTTTCAGTAATCATTTATTATACTGAATAATTTATTGTACTATACCGAATAATTCATTATAGTAATAACGAATTTCTTATAATGAAGGTTGATCAGCTTGAACGCCAACTTCGTTATATTGAGATATAACTGTAACTTTTTTGCTATAATGTTGTATATTTTCAGATATGTATTATTTTTAATATTAAAACTTCAATCAATAATATTTCATGAATTAGTAATCACAGAATAATAATATTTGGCCTGTTGGATTCGTTACAATGAAAGGAATCAAATGGTATAATCAGAATTATATATAGATATTATTCCAGTAATTTTGGTAGACATAGGACATCTGAAAGTTCATATCTGTGACTGTATCTGTAAGATAGTTAGAACATAAACTGATATTATATATTTTTTGATCAGAATTAATAAGAGACATAGTCAGTATTAATGTGAACAAAAAATCCTGAACATAAAAAATCTTAGATATGAATACAAACAGTCTGATTTAGTTTGATCTATATCTATATCTGCATTCCATAATAATACTAGATATAATTTTCATAAATTTTGAATGGATATTGACTGAGATATTAATAAGAATTACTTATATATATAAATCTAATAGTGCTTATTTATAGAATAATACGGTAAGTTGTTTAATACTAAAATTATAATAATAAAATAAATGTTAAAAATCTTCTTTATTATTATCTTTTGTATTTTTAATGAGTCAAAGGATTTTTTAAATTAAATACTATAATTAAAAGTTCTATTTTGATTCATGATTTCTTTTTTTATTCTTCTTTATCTAAAATTGTATCTTCTATATATTCTAATGATAGTATTATAAGATGATCTCTTTCAGCTTATATAACTGTAATTTGTTTTTAAATTTCATAATCTATATAATTTTCACAATATTTAGTTTTATAAATTTTAGGCCAATCTTACAAATGCTTTATCAAATCCAAAATAATATTTAGGTTATGTAAGATTAATAGAGTAAATATATTGAAATAATTTTTGCAAATTTGAATATTTATTCATTCTCTTTTTAGGAATTGTTTAATTAGTTTTATTCCATTAAAAGTCTTAAACATAATTTTATAATATGAAGTAAAAATACTTTAAGATTTCTTGTAGAAGCACTCATTGATAAGAAATATAATTTAAATTTTTTTGATGGGTTTTGATATTAGTGATATAATTATTAATTTCTCAATATGTATGCATGCTAAACAAATATTTTTATATCCTTTTGAAAGGTGAGAATATACCCTAATTTTAGAATCAAAATCATTCACCAGAAGTGAAGATATTAGTGATCAAATTTAAGAATTTATTTTGAATTACAAATAATTGTATTGATCACATTTATTTAGCAACCAGTAATTAAATTCATGTGATATTTAATATTTGGATAGGACTCATTTTCCCTTTCATATAATTATAAGATCACTTATGTAGCTTATATACATATTGGATTATTTACAATTATACTATAGAAATTATATTTAATTTTAATTTTATATAGAAGGTAATATATTAAAGTTCTTCAATATATTTCCAATTTTATTGAAAACATAAATGCAAATATACAGAATTAATTTTTATTAAATTGTAAAGTTTATAAGTATGATTATTATGTAACCTTTTAAATTTGTTCGCAGTTTATATTAAAAAAATGCATAAAATTACATTAAATTAAAACATTACTACATATTAAAAGTGACCAATAATAATTCGATTTGAATAAAAATAGATATTTTTAAAAATTAGAGTATAATACATTTATTGGCAAAATTTCAGGGTGTATTAATATGTATAATTATTTTAAAAAAATCAAGATAATGTCTTGTTTCAGTATTTGTTTTATGTGATAAAATCGAAAAATGATCGGCAAAAATTCATGTGATAAAATAGAAAGTCCTCTATGCTCCGATCACCCATATATAAAGGTGAATAAAAGTTCTTATTAACTTTATTAATTTTTTTTTTTTTATTGAGAACGACTAATTTATTATTTAAAAATAATTAAATTATTCATTTAAATTTATTATGCCTTTTTCTATAATTCAAATTAATGACTATTGAAATTATTATGATAAATTTTTTCTTTAAAAATCTTGTTTGCGCTAGTCAGCCAATCAGATATCTGTTTTTTTTTTTGATTTTAACATTAATCGAGTAGTGATTGTCGGAAGTTTTGAAAATAAATAGCCTATTTACAAAAAACCTTTTTACAACATTTTTATAAATTTGTTCATCGAAACTATTCTAATATTCAAAATTAGCTTTAGTTCTTTAATTAAAATAATTCACTCTTTTATAAAATTTTTTACTAATTAAATAAATCAATCAAAAATAAATCAATCAAGTATAATATAATTTTGTTATATACAGTACAAAGTCTTGAACCAAATTTTTTTATACTTTATTTTTCTTTTTTCTTAATTTCTTTTTTTTAAAAAAAAATTTTATGTATATTATATAGAAATACGTAATCTAACGAATCTACGAGGAATTAGAAAGCATACTTAATGATTAAATAATACAGATTATCTGCTAAGAGATTGGAAAAATAAAGCAATTGTTTATTAAGGAGCACACATATTAAATAAATGAAGAAAAGAATACATTCTCTGACTCAAATTTAAAGAATATTTTTGATTGAGTCCAATGAAACATTGAGATGAAAACAAGCAAAAGGTATAAGGATAGAATCTTATATTACTTAAAAAATTGAGAATTTTATTTTAAATATATAATAAATTTGCTTTTAAATAGAAAAGACATCGAAGGCTGCATAAAATAGAGCCGAATCCGGAATTTCAAAAGACTGAGCCATGACTGAGTCTCTGTTCCAAATTGACAACTTTATTTATGTTGGGGCTGCTTTTGCAGCATTAATTAAATTATAAAATTTTTGTTAAATAATACAATTATGATCGTAAATTTCAAAAAAGAGTCGCGGCTTAATCAACGGCCGAGTCGACTGAAACAGGCAGGTACTACTACTTACTAATCACCAAATACTGTATCAAAAATAAGAGAAGATGGAAAGTTGTAGAGTATGGTCGATCAATTGAATGATGTATGGTGTATGAGTATGACCTTTTATACTTGATTGCTAGGAGTTAATGTTAATATTGGTAGATTAGGGATAGGTTAAGTCTGTTTAGTATAACATACTCAAAATCGTTTCACGTGATATACTATACTCATTTGGTCGACCATACTCCGTATCCATCAAAATAAGGCTAGTGTAAATTATTTAATATAAATTTTTTTAAGGTAAGGTTTTGTTTTAATTTATAAATACTTTGGATTTATTCCTATTTAGGAAAGTTCAATATTGATTTGTCAATTTTATTCCCGAAATTACTTAATTTAAGTTCACGTGTAGTATGTATGCTTGCGTCATAAAGTACATACTTTTTAACAAAAAAGGACTGACACCTCCATACACATACATACACCATTGGTGTCGTTACACTGCCAATATTCTTATAGGAAATCCACAATCAAAAACTAAAAAAAAATTCTATAAATTAGTTTCTTGATGAAATATTATGAAACGGCTCAAATATGATAAATGCAGTAAATGTATGCGTAGAAGAACAGTTTCAGAAAATCATCTTTGTCATACGTGCCAAAAAGCAGAGGCAATATTTAAACCAAGTGGAAATAAAGTTATTGACGAATTTATTACGTTCACTTTAACCAATAACAAAAAAACAACCGGAAAAATGGAATTCGTTCCTCACGATAAATTCAAAGACATAGATTTTATTGCTGAGGGAGGATTTAGTAAAGTTTATAAAGCAACTTGGATTGACGGCCCAATAAATTATTGGGATGGTAAACAATCAAAATATAGACGTAATAATCATATGATCGTTGCTCTCAAAAATCTTAATAATTCCAAAAACATTAATAAGGAGCTAAATGAGGTACAGTTACTTATACCAATATTTTGTTATAAATTCAAAACAAATCAATAATTTAATAATTTTTATATATTAGCTCAGGTTGTATTATAAATTTTCTTTAGAATGGAAATATAAAAATATAAAACCAAGTTATGCATATTCAGATCAATATAATTATGTTAACAAATGTTTTGGATTGACTCAAGACCCCGTTACTAAGGATTATATGATAATCATGAAATATTATGAATCAGGAGATCTATCACAATATTTAGCAAGGAATTTTTTCTATCTTAAATGGACAGATAAGCTGAAACTATTACATTACATTATAGATGGACTTAAAAATATACATGGTGTAAACATTGTCCACAAAGATTTTCATAGTGGGAATATATTTGTTTCAGGCGAAACTGCTATCATTGGCGATTTAGGGATAAGTAAACCAGTATCATCTGAAGAAGATGATAATGAAATTTATGGGATTATTCCTTATGTTGCTCCGGAGATTTTTCTAGGTCAAAAATATACTAAAGCTTCAGACATATATAGTTTTGGTATGATTATGTGGGAATTCTTGACAGGTAGAAGGCCTTTTTGGGATAAAATTCATGACACAGAGCTTATTATTGATATTTGTGATAATATTCGTCCTGAAACCGATATAAATGCACCCGAAGGTTATATTGAATTGATACAATCATGTTGGGATTCTGTTCCATATAATAGACCAACGGCCGATGACATAATATCGAAAATTAAGAGTATTATCGGTTCAGAAATTATTATACAAACTAAAATTATAGAATCATCAGATATTGGACCTAGAACGACAAAAATTTCAGGCGCTATATATAAGAGTAGAGTATTAAGTACAATGATATCATCAGCAGAAACTACAAGAAGTATGAGAAGTCAATACTGGTAAATGGTTTATATTATAAAAAAGGTTTAATAGTCGATTAATATTGTAGAAAAATATTCGCCAAAGAATCCATCATGTTTTGTAGAACCATATTCGCCAGATCTTATCATTGTTTACTTTTAAAAAATGGATTCTTTGGCTGAAGTTAGGAATTTACTTTGGTAAATAGATTTTTTTCGAATTTTAAAAAATAATATTTTTATTATTATTTTTTTAGGAATACCTGCGATTATAATTTGGATCACTTCAATAGTAATTCTTTATTTCATAAACGTAAATCAATTTAATTACAAAGTCTTTGACCATACTAACATTTCTTTCCGTTATAATTAATAATTTCTTTTATTTATTCAAGATAATCGGAAATTCGAGGATTATAGTATAACCAATTATAAACATAGGCTCAAACCTGACGGTAATAGTAAATGGATAATTAATGTTTACGTATAGATAATTAATTTCTAACTAAATCGAATTTATAATACATAGAATATGTATCCAAAGAATGGAGTTTTGATATCTAGTGGCGATATTTAATTATAATATACATTTTTTGAAAATTATTTATTTTTTAAATAGATAATTAGCTAATCGTTTTGAAACTAAATATTGGTTTGTCTAATTTTTTTTTTTTTTTTTTACAGTCTACTCAGCCATCGACTAAAATATATTATTGTCCGAGCGAAGCTGAAAACAATGCCTTGTACTATAATTTGTTAGCCCTTGAAAAATTCATTCCCTCCACCAACGTCACCACATCTCCTATACATACCCCTGCTTGTTTTTTAGTTATATAGACTTTTTTTGTAATTGTACACCTAACACTGTTTTTTGTAGAGTTAGCGGTCGGGGGGAGAACAAGATCTGAAGTCGATTCAGTATCTTTTAATGTCGAAATGTCGACTGAGTTGTGACTGATAATATTGTTTGGGCATTATGCTATTTGTTTATTTAATTATTTGGTATTTTTTGATTATTTAATGATTAATGAATTTATAATATATTTTTTTATTTATAGTTAATATTTTGTTAATTAGAAATTATTAGTCAACTTTTTTTAAAAAAAAAATGTAAAATTTGAGCATACTCCTTGATTTTAAATTGAAAGAACTTTAAACTTCTTGATTTTTCGATGATGGAATATTAACTATGTTCAATTCATTTTATGTTTTTAAATTTTAAGGTTAAATATTTTGTTAAGTAGAATTATTAATTAATCTTATAAAAAGAATATAAATTTTAAGTAGACTCCTTCCAGATTTTAGATTGAAAGAAACTTTTAAAAGTCTTGATCTTTAGATGATGAAATACTATATATACAATTTATTTAATATTCTTAAATTATAAGTTGATATAAATTTATTAAGCAAATACATGTGTTTCATTTATTTAATTATTCTTGAACTAAAAATTGAATAATTTATTTATCAATTTTAAAATAAATAATATAATTTTATTATACAGACTCCTTTCAAATTCTAGATTAAGAGAAATTTTTAAATTTTCTAATATTTTAAATAATAAAATATTTAATTTAATTAATTTATTTATATTTTAAACAAAATATTAAAAAATATTTTAATTAAAAAGTTATCAATTTTTAAAATATATTTAAAATAATTTTATTACTTATAAATAAAAATAAAAATTAATTAATATAAAATTAAAACTAATTATTTATTAAAAATGTTCATTTAGAATTTCAAGATATTTAATCTGCATATAAAAATAATGAAACTTATTAAGATTTATATAATATTTATTAAGAACAATTTATTATTTTGTTTAAAAATCTTAAATTAATTGCAGAAAAATATTGTAATATTTTAAGTATTAAAAAATATACTGTGGTACGCAATTTAAAGATAATGATAGTAGGAATAAGAATATCTTTTATAACATCTGATACCAATTATAAGGGCCTTTTTAGGTCTCAACATTAAGGCATTTAGATCTCAATGAAGTAACTTTCTGACTTACAACCACTCTCAGACTATGCCACTTATTTAAGAAAAGAATTATTCTTAAAATAGACCATTATGTCATTTTAAGAAGGCTTTTTATACAAGTATTTCTAGCAGCCTGAGTTCTACTAAATTTAGATAGAGAGATATTTTAGGCTATATAAAAGCATTATTATCTGATTATCGAAAAATATACTTATTTAATTAAGAAATATCATGATAAATTCGCTTAATAGAAAAAGAATTAAAATTATTGATATAAATATATTAGTAATTTTTATACATAAAAATATAATTATTAGTAAAATTATACATAATATTGCTAAACAATTAGTTAAAAATCATTTTGGTTATAAAAAAAAAATAAAAGTTATTATAAAAAGCATATCATAAAATAAAATGTGAACAAAAAAGCTATGCATACTAGTTGAATAATAATAAATAGAAACCAATCTAGATTATTAAATTTGATCTAATTTATCACCTTTATTTGTTATTTTAGTATTAAATGATTTTATTGATGATAAATAATAGTGCAGATAGTGATATTAGAATTCCAATTGGAATATTATAAAAATATTAATAAGGTTATACTTATTGATATCAATTTATTAATATCTAGTTTCCAATTAAATTATTCCATTAATAGGAATATTCTTATTATTATCTATTATATCAATATTATACAAATAGTATAAATAGTATATTCTAATTGGTAATATTTTAATAAATTTTTATAATACAAGTAATTTTATAATTATTTATTTTATATAAATAAGCAATTCTGATTAATTATAATAAAATAATTTTTTTTATTGATATAATTTATATTAATTTAATATATTAATTATAAGAAAAGTATATTAATATATAATAAAACTTTAATTTGTTACAAATTAATTAAATTTAATTATTTATTATCGTATAACCAATTTCATAATAAATAATTTAATAAAATTTAATGAATTTTGTATAATAAATCATTATAATAAATTTCATAATGAATCATTTAATGAAATTCATTATAATTCATTTAAACAGATTTCATATAATTATTCGTTTAAATAAAATTGTATAATCAATTTCATAATAAACTGTTAATGAATTTCATTATGAATTGTTAACGAATATTATTAATAAATTTTTTAGCAAATTGGCAATTGGTAAATTTTAATTGAATAATAATCATCAATTAGGTATTAACTAATAGATAAATAATTGTTAATTGAACTTGATTTGTTACTATTGAGCATATTATTTTAAATTTATTAAAATAAGTATAAAATTAGGTTAGAATCTGATTTTATTTAATTATTATAAATTGGATATTAACTAATTTATAGTATTAACTGATTTTTATTTATTGATTGCTGATTAAAAAATAGTAATCAAATGAAAGGTGTCCAATTGATTAATATTAATTATAACAGATACAGGAAAATAGTAAGTTATAATTTACATGCTAAATTTCTAAATCTATCAATCACTAGTTTATATTTATAATTAAATAAAAATCTTGATTTTCAAGTATAAAAAATATATGATGAAGATGAAGATAATTTTGCAAATTAGTTGCTTGATAATGCTAGAAAATATTTATCTTTGATAATATTCTAATATAATAATTTTAACCAAAATGTTAATTTAAGTGATAATTAACTTATAGATGTTATCTTTTATGCAAAAAATTACAAAACTGCTAGATATTATAATAATGATTAAATTTGCTATAGAATATGTTTTTAATATAAGTATAGTTAAAGAATAATACTTTATTTATCCTAAGTATAGTATTACTATACATGAAGTCGAAACGGATCATTTCGGATATCCGAAATGGTCGAAATGGTCGAAATCATTTCGACCATTGAAGGCTAAAGTCGCGAAATAGT